CTAGTCTTCAAGTTCATTTCTTTACAATTTCGTCTTTTTCGTTTGATTTTGGCATTCTACGACATTGGTATAGTTTTTATCTTTTTTTGTAACTTATGGTATATTTTTGCTCATTTTACAACTGTTTTGTACGATTTACAGTATGGTTGAAAACTTTTTTTTTTTTTGGAAACGGCCGAAAATTCATGCGCGCGCGGATGTCATCCATATAATCAAATCAACATGGCCTAACGGCCGAAAATTCATATGCGCGCGTGGATGGCATCCATATAATCAACTTAACATGGCCTTATCCACCTGTATTTTCACAGCAGGCCTGTGAATGTTTTGACCCTCAAAGTAACCGTGAAATTCCCCGGAATGTGTCCGCTGTCAGCCGGCATGGGCGACATAAATCGGCCCAAACAACCCCGGTTTCAATTACTTATGACCTGGTTTTGTTTTAGGGCCCACGTTAGATTTTCCTTGTCCTTCATATTGCATTACTTTTTCTTGGATGGAGGGATCGTTCTGTATTACATTGTTACCTTTGAGTCGTCCTGTCCACAATTCAACAATCTGTTCGAATGTCTTCCGAAGGAGACTTTCATAGAATTTAAATGTGACTTATGGTTTAATTTTGATAACAATATGAGAACCATATGGGACACCCCTGTATAACAGTTATCCACTTGAACTTATGAATAATACTGTAGAGTATTTTATTTTGTAGGTCACTTTTTTTCATCTACCCTTGGAGAACAGCATTCTATGTTTTTAACATACTAAAGTTAAAACTTTAGTATGTTACATCTGTACTGTTCTGCTTTGATTTATTCAATGGGACTGGTTTGATTTTGTAGTTACATATATATCGAAGACTTATTCTAGCCCTTATTGTTTTGTTATAAGTTGAACAGTTTTATTTTGTCATATACCTCTTATTTGTACTATATATTCAATAGTTGCTGCCATACATTTTACTATGGCCCTACCATATGTACAAATGCCGTACAATTAAGTTCTTCTTCTATAACTTTATAAATGCTAGCTGAATTAGAGTGTAGATAAAACACGTCGTAAAACAAATAAAATGTACACATACACAAGGGTCAGAGCTGTAATATACATTGCTATAAACAAATAAACTTCCTTCACTGTAAGATCAGACTAGGGACGGTCCCGCACAAATGTAACTCTTCTTCTATAACCTTATAAACCCACTGCTAGGCTGAATCACAATGTCATCATAATCACAATGTGGATGTCTTAAAAAACATAAAAGATCGTAAAATGGACACATCAGTAAGGGACAAAGCTATAATTGCTACATTGCTATAAACAAATAAACTTCCTACACTGTAAGATCAGACTAGGGACGGTCCCGCACAAATGCAGCTCGCCCTCCCCCCAGGACTCCTGCCAGAGGCCGGGTTTGGATGATGGATGGCGACGTTTGTATTCACAGGTGCACGGGCCGGGCCCAGACGGACTGGCACCGACTTCCTTTTGAAGGGGACCGCGCTCTCTGGGGTGGGCGTTATGGCTTCCAGCTGCAGGCGAACCGGGGGAAACAGTCCGGGCTCACGGGGATGACCTCATGTTTCAGTCGAGCAAAGGGGAACGGTTGTCTTTCTTCTCCAGTCCCCTATTGGACCTCCCCTTCTTGTAAATCAAATTATTAGCTTCATTATTACTAGCCTGGGTTCCAGACCCATAGCAGACTGGACACAAAATATCTCAGTGAGCTGAGGCTACATTATTACCTAGCGTTTGTGTGTGTGTGTGTGTGTGTGTGTGTGTGTGTGTGTGTGTGTGTGTGTGTGTGTGTGTGTGTGTGTGTGTGTGTGTGTGTGTGTGTGTGTGTGTGTGTGGAGGGGGGGGGATTAGCACGATAACTCAACCCAGCTTTGCATTGATTGTCATGAAACTTGGTAGGTGTTGATGAGACCTACTGTAGAAATAATTAGATTTGAGCCCCCGGCGGCTTTCCTAGGTACTGCAGCAGAACTTCCGTTTTTTTATATCTCATGATCTAGATATGATAGGGTCACGAATTTTGGATGGTAGAAAGCTCATGCAGTCATGGGCTAGGGAAGAAATGAAATTGGTTTGAGCCCCCTAGCAGCTTGTTTTGTACCTTTATTTCAGTGTCGTTAGTGTTGGGGTTGGAGTCTTTCATTCATTCATTCATTCATCTATAACTATGACTGTATTTTGTCATAGCGCCTTCCTGCTTTTCTAACAATTTCTTCACTTTTCATTCATTCATTCATTCATTCATTCATTCATTCATTCATTCATTCATTCATTCATTCATTCATTCATTCATTCATTCATTCATCTAAGGCTCTATTTTGTCATAGCGTCTTCGTGCTTTTCTAACAATTCCCATCACTTTTTCACATCGCTCAAACACAGGAAAGATCCTCGTCACACCTTGAATTAAGATCCTTCCAGTTTTCCGGTCGAAAATATATCACCCGACGACACTTATGCCCGTAGCCAGGAGTGGATGGGTTCAGAAGAAAAAGGCTCAAAGATCCACTTTTTTTTAATCTGAAGGTCCAAGATTTTTCTTTAAAAGATGTACTGATTTGTATCACCAATGGGACTTGAATCGTAGGAAAACTGCTCACTTTGTCATTGAACACTGAATAAAAAATTATCTATGATTTTTCCTTTGAAATCCCCATAAAAATGCAGGAAATGCCATTTCAGAAGGTTTTCAAAATTTTCTAGAGGGGGGGGAGGGGATGCCCCCGACCCCCCTATGGCCTAGGAACAGGCTCTCGCCTCGCGCCTTCGGCGCTCGCTGGTCCCTCGGACCTTGGGAAGAACCCCCCTATTCAAAATCCTGTCTACGGGCATGTTGAGAGTGTCACCGGCTTTGTCCAGTTTGTTTTCCCGGGAGGTACAAACACGAGAAGAAACTGTCCTCTGTAGGCGTTGGGAGAGTTTTCTACAACAACAAACACATCACAAAAGCTCGTATTCTTTGAAGATGGAAAAGTGCTTCCAGATGCAACTACTTCCAACGTGTACTGACCCCAGAAGGCCTACCGAAATACACCGAAACATTTCGGCTCTACAGGACAAAGAAATGGTGAAAACATTTCATCCACTGTGTAATCAAACTACGTTATTTTTGCGTCTCCATTTTAGATCTGCATACAAAATTATAAACCATTGCTAAAACATCTATTCAAATCGCAGTTACAAACACAAAGGTACAACGAATTCGAAAACGTTCATTCATGGTAGTATTGTATATTCTATATTAATATACGTACGTAATTATGTTAGCAATGAAATAACTGACAAGTTTGACATAGATAAAATATTATATACGATATAGGGGGCTCTATGTGGTACAGAAGTGATATCTCAATTGGTCTGTCATAACAGACCTATGGAGGTATATTCTAAAATGACACACTAGAATAGCATAAATAATAACACATTGTAGGTTATGAGAAAATATAACAATGGCAACGGCAGTCTAGACGAAAAATTCCACTACTAGCCTCCTTCGCAGACTTCTGAGGTGGCGGCGTGATTTTTTTTCGGGGAGCGACGCGAGTTATGCCGCGGAGGGACGGTTTTGCCGCCGAGGGACTTTGCCCGGGAGAGATAGCCTCTACCAGGCTTCGGGGGGCGGCTGGAAAGAGTAGAACTGGGCCAAATAGAGAGATAACATGCCAGGGGAGTTGGTCTGCTGAAGAGAACAGTTTACCGCTCCCCTGACTTCAAATCTCTCTATTTGGCCGATTTATACTCTTTCCAGCCGCCTCCCAAAGCCTGGTAGAGGCTAGGGGAGAGAAGTTTCACCACCTAAGAGGTCTGCGAAGGAGGCTAACGCTCCACCGAGTTTGTTTGATCCTTCATAACAGTACGTGCTTCTAACCCTCTCAGACACATTTGTGTTTTTTCGCGGCGCGCCCAAGAGGTCTTTTCGGTCGTTTCCCACGATTATTTTCTCAGTAGATAACACATATATTTTACACTGAGGGAAAATAAACTCACTGCTTAACTTGGCCACGGAAGTGTGAAACATTTAGGAAGCTATTAAACTTTCGAGTGTGGCAATCTATCATTTTGGAGTCAGGGCTTACTGATGATATTTCTGCAATGATTTCAACATCTCTTTTTTGACCGGTGTGGCTGAGAGTGTCTGTTGCCTTTTTTTCAAACATTTTTGAAACCTTTGTAACAATGCAACTGGTATAAGTAATTTTAGAACAAATTCTAACCTAATTTTGACTTTTAAAATATCTCCGAAGTATTACAACATATTCGAAAATGGTCATTAACATTTGTTGTTGTTTTATTTGTCATCTCGTTATGAAAGATGGTACCACATGTAGCTATGAGAAGTTGAAAAGTTGAAAACACAGGCTTGTCCTAACATTTTAGGCGCTTTTTAGACTCCATTTTGTGCAAACCTTACTTGAACCAAGCATAGTGTTGGCTTATTTTTGGCGTGTTTTTAGGCTTTTTATCAGGCTTTCTTGTTTGGCACTGGCATCTTTTTTGGTTGGTTTTGCGTTAAAAAAACCTGAGATATCACTACAAAACAAAAGAATGGCCTAAAAAAAAGCCAAAAATAAGGCAAACCCCAAACCTCTGCTTGGAGAGTATGCAAACCTTGCATAGATGATATGTTTGAAAGAAATCTAATATACCTACACATATAGGAAACGTACCGTTCCAAACCTCTCTCTTGAGGTAGCTCTGTGATATCTAGGGGGGAGGGGGGCTTTGAATTTACACACACTGAGGAGTTGGTTTGCTCCAAGGTCACTGGCAGAGGACACGGATGCCCTCATGTCACCTGAACCCACACCACAAGGTTACGCTGTGCTTGTAAACGCTTTAGGACCTTTAGCTTTACACCGTCTGTACAGCAGAACGACTTTTAACTCTTCCTATAAAGTATCGCACTGTTTCAAGATGAACTGTGAGCTAATAACACACTTTTATGAACAGTTTATGGAATGTTTGAGTCCTCTTTGACTCCTGGTGTGAGCTTTACGGTACACAGTGATTATGTCTGCATCCGGTTGAGGGTATCAAGTTGACAAAACTTTTTATGTCCATCTATCGTTCCATCTGAACATCTGCAGGACACATGTCGGTAGCCATGCGCACAGAACACATGGCGTCGTTCTTTATATATCATCTGCAATCACCCGGTGAATGTCACCTAAAATAAGTCGGAAACTGACGTTTTGAAATAGTATGACTT